TTTCCAGTTAATTTAACCGTTTGAAAATTTATGCCTGCTTGCTTTCGATCTAGAGAAAATTGTAATCAGAACGTTTCCATCAATACATCGTTGCCGCCCAGGATCGAACTGGGAATCTTGCGCGTGTTAGGCGCTAGCGATAACCACTTCTCTACGGTAACTTGCATGCCGAAAGATGTTCGGCGATGGCTAATTCATTCTCAGATGTGTAAGTTTTCAAGAAAGACAACTACGTGATAGATCATGAAAATTCGCCGTATCGTTACATTCAATTGTTAAATAATTAAACGCTAACCAGCTAAAGAATTTCTTCGCGGTCTTAGTTTGCAGCAGCACAATGACAATGAATATCGCGTTCTCCACCTGTCCACCATTCAATCTTGAGCTCAATCGCTGGAAACAGCTGTCGTGTTTATTATTTCATTAGATATTACCTGGTAGCCAGTTCTTGTTGACGATATTTCGAACACAAAAAATATTTAATATTTCTCCGCGTGCCTTGCACGTGTAAAGTGATGACTGCAACGCTATAGAAACAAACGCCTGCTCGCAACGTTTTGCAAACTTCTCCAGTATCAATCGTTCAAACTGGACAGGAAATTTAATCACTTGATCCTGCCGCATCACGGCATTTGGATTCTTCTTTTGGGAAAAAAAATGACCACTGTTGTGCGATATGAGTAATGATTGTTGAGTTAGTTCCAGTCGGATATATTTTTTTCGTTTAAATTTAAATTTTTTTCCCGTTATTAAGAAAATAAAATGACGTTAATATACAGTAGGCACAAAGGTTGCAAGCTGTCAGGATGGCCGAGTGGTCTAAGGCGCCGGACACAATTGTAAGTTTGCACACCTGCTCCGCTAATGCGCAGTCAGAGGATGTTCTGGTCCACTAATGTGGGCGTGGGTTCGAATCCCACTCCTGACAGAAAATTTTAAAATTGGAGGTCGTTAAATATATTGCTAAAATTATTAAAATATTTGACGCTATTACGGAAACAAAAAAAATTAATATTTCTCGTGCGAGTGTCCAAATTACATTCAAAAGACTTATTTCAGCAAACAGGTGAGAAATTTGTCTGAGCATGCGCGGCAGAATAAATCACGCAATTGAGTGGAATACACGCAACGCGTGTTTACAAAAAGGCACAATCGTGTAAATATTGCCAAATGTTTGTATAAAATAGATGACTGTTTTATGTTGAAAATGGACAGGATCAAAATTAATCATACGGAATTTTTTAGTGACGTTCCATTTCAGTACCCTGCCATTGTCTCTGGTGGACTGTCCGTGTGCATTCGATCTGAAACAGTTGCTACTTTGCTCTCGAAAAATTTCGAATGCTTACATGAAAATAGAGGCAAATCGTGCATTTTACAACCTCGTAAACTGTATGAGCCCCTATTTTTACGCTTATACCTAGGATATCAAATAAAAATACGTGAACCAGAGAACATTTTTAGAAAGTTTTATCTTGAGGCCACGTCCAGTTTTTAAAATGTCTTTATTTCTGTTCCGGTGATCACCAAAATTACACTAAAGCCGGGCTTGAATATACAACAAATTTTGAATCTCATCAAGTACAAAAATATTTAAGGTGTAACCAAAATATTCTCATGAAATCGAAATTAATAGCTAAATTTTCAAACTAGACCCTTCTCGAGCGGGTTTTCATGAAGGAAGTTCACATTTCGGCCTTTGATTCTTGGCAAAAATTTGACCACAACACGTGCGAAGCAACTGGGTCTCAAAGACTCAGCTAAAACATTGTGAGCCCCTATTTTCCTGACGATGTGTTTGATACCTACAAACAACGAAAAGTTTTTTCTTTTCATTTAGCTATATTTGAAATTGAGGCACAGGCTATTTTTGAGAAAATACAGTTTAAAGTCAAGCTCTTTTTACATATTTTCAAAATTTGTCAAATTTCGCGAGCTTGTATTTTGAACTTAGACAGCTGAAGTTACATTAAGAAACATAGGATGGAAAATTTGAGGCATATAAAGTTAATTTCAACTTACATTTCATTCTCATATCACGTCTTTCTTCGTTTATTACGGTTTTAAACAAGCCACAGATCGACGTATACGGTATTTACTCCCATGTTCACGTCGCCATATTGACTTCTTCCAATCACTCGATTACAAAACAAATCACCACAAAACAAAGAATTCATAGTCGACTTTTAAAAGAATAACCGTTAATTTGTAAATCGTTGAATGGAAAACAAAAAATCGTCAGCTAAAACAGCTTCTTGCTAACTTTCTTCTTTGTTTTGAATGTAAATGCAACGAGCTTTGTTTCCGCCCGCGATTTTTTGGTCAGCGACAACAAATTTCCCACCTGTTATTTCAGCATAGATTGCTATAAGTGTTCATTTTTTAGAAAATATTTCCAGTTAACCGTTTGAAAATTTATGCCTGCTTGCTTTCGATCTAGAGAAAATTGTAATCAGAACGTTTCCATCAATACATCGTTGCCGCCCAGGATCGAACTGGGAATCTTGCGCGTGTTAGGCACTATAGTGATGACAACTACACTACGGAAACTTGCATGCCGAAAGATGTTCGGCGATGGCTAATTCATTCCCAGATGTGTAAGTTTTTCAAGAAAGACAACTACGTGGTAGATCATGCAAAATCGCCGTATCGTTACATTCAATTCTTAATTAATTAAACGCTAACCAGCTAAAGAATTTCTTCGCGGTCTTAGTTAGCAGCAACACAATGACAATGAATATCGCGTTCTCCCCCTGCCCACCACTCAATCTTGAGCTCAATCGCTGGAAACAGCTGTTATGTTTATTATCTCATTAGATATACCTGGTAGCCAGTTCTTGTTGACGATATTTCGAACACAAAAAAAATATTTAATATTTCTCCGCGTGCCTTGCACGTGTAAGGTGATGACTGCAACGCTATAGAAACAAACGCCTGCTCGCAACGTTTTGCAAACTTCTCCAGTATCAATGCTTCAAACTGGACAGAAAATTTAATCACTTGATCCTGCCGCATCACGGCATTTGGATTCTTCTTTTGGGAAAAAAATGAGCACTGTTGTGCGATATGAGTAATGATTGTTGGATTAGTTCCAGTCGGGTTTATTTTTCTGGTTTAATTTTTTTTCCCCGTTATTAAGAAAATAAAATGACGTTAATGTACAGTAGGCACAAAGTTTGCAAGCTGTCAGGATGGCCGAGTGGTCTAAGGCGACGGACACAATTGCAAGTTTGCACACCTGCTCCGCTAATGCGCAGTGAGAGGGCGTTCTGGTCCACTAATTTGGTCGTGGGTTCGAATCCCACTCCTGACAGAAAATTTTAAAATTGGAGGTCGTTCAATATATTCTACAATTTTTAACATATTTGACGCTATTACGGAAACAAAAAAATTAATATCTCTCGGCCATGTGTCCAAATTTCATTCAAAAGACTTATTACTCGCTGGGGCATCTGTGCCCCAGACGAGTATAGGTTTCCGCTCACATTTTTCTCCGATTGATAGCCACAAAATAGAATATTAATGAGCTGCCTAATTTTCCCGCCAATTATCCATAAGACTCCTGCCAATTTTACCCAAATTATCCATAAATAGCCATGCATTTTGAGGAAAATTCGGGAAAATTGTACAATTTTACAAGGAATTTTGCACGGAAACAGCAACCTTCGCAAATCGCAAGTTTATACCGTTTGGCTGCGCTGCTTTTATATATTTTGAGAAGAAAGCGGCACTGTTCGATTCTGCGTAAGAAATTGTACTCACGGATTTCAAATGTATTACTAAACAGCAGTATTCTAGCGATTTATGGCCTTTGAATATCAAGCGAAACTGGTCAAATTGTATTTTTGATAAATCGCTTGCACTGTCAACAGGCCAAACTCGCACTACGTTTGTCCTTGTATTTGTAATGCCTCATGGCGGAATAACGATAAAAATATCACCGTTCGATTCAGGGTACGAAATTGTACTAATTACAGATGTCAAATGTATTACTAAACAATAGTATTCTAGCGATTTATGGCCTTTGTCTTTGAAAGACAAGCGAAATTGTATTGTTAACAAATCGCTCTTACGGATGTCAAATGTATTAGTAAACAACAGTATTCTAGCGATTTATGGCTTTGCCTTTTCTTTGAAAGCCAAGTGAAATTGTATTGATGATAACTTTGGTATCATTGGTTTTCTATTTTTCGGCCGTATACCAGTGGATTCGTCTTACTTCTCTCTTCATTTTGATGGTATTTTGAGCCGAAAGCCCCAAAATATTTTATTTTGAACGTTTTAAAGCGCAGTTTATAAATCCTAGCGTACGGACGAACTGACGGCTGACAGTCTTGAAGAATGTAGCGTACTAAATATAACTTTACTTGTAGGGCCTACCGCATTTTAGTGCTGTGTTAAGCCTTTTCCGCTCGTATTCGACTTTTCCGCTTAGTAATAAATATTCGATAATATCGCGATAAATGCAATAAAAACAATGACCACATTTTTCAATTTTAGTTAATATCATTAATTAAAGAAATATGAAGGATTTGTCTTGTCTAATATATTTACTGTACAGTGTCTACTGTGTCTCCGCTAGTCCAGTTCTGGCCGCTGACCGCGCTCCTCCCACGCGGAGAAGGGTCCAGGGAAAACTGCATGCGCATGCTCTCATGCGCAGTACTGCGCATGTTTTGATTTGCAAAATATAGTAATATGGCGGCTGGGAAGTATCGAAAGTTATTTCCTTATTACGAGTATAATTAAGCTTGCAAGTGATGAACCAGGCGGGAATCGTAATCGTAGTATAAAGATTAATGCCCAGCATAACGTACGCAAAAGAGTACGTCACGTATAGGTACGTTACGTAAGTACGTATGTCTATATTTTTGTCTATATATGGCTCTTTAATTTTTGTCTATATATGGCTCAGTAATTAGCTTCCAATTGAGAAACTTTTTAAAAAACGAGAAGTAATAATGACTTTCAGGACATTAACAGGTCGATTACCTCAGGATGCCAAATTACAAGATGCCAAAACAACAATTACAATCCAAGAAATAACAAACCAAATTGGCGCTTCCAAAACCTAAGACAAATTTCCTCAAAAGGAGCTTCTCGTACAGAGCTGCGAAATTGTGGAACGAACTTTAAAGTGAAACCATCGAAAATCACAATGAACTATCAATCTTATAGTTTAAACGGCGATTATATAATTAGGTATAAAATTGATGCAAATATTTATACTGATAGCATACTTTGTAAATAGTCTTTTGTTTATATGTTTATACTGTATATATTTTGTGTTTCATAGCTTAGTATATTGATAGATACACGGCCCTTTGAAACCAGTTTTGTAAATAATTATCCACTGAATAGGCTACCGTATGTAAAGTATTTTAATTAAAGATTACTTGTCAGACGCTGTTGACTTTCGCTGTCCTCTGTCCCGCCTTTGGCAGTGTCGCTGGCTTTCGAATTAAAATAAACGCAGCTCTTTTTACGTTTAGAATTAGCTGACTGTCCCCTGTTGGTTTATGGAGACGCTTTATTTTGCCTTGGTTTACATGAATAAATGTCTCTCTTATATCATTTATCTTCTTTATCAACGTTTCCAGCTTTGATTTGCAGTTTCTGCAGCAATATAGAATTCGTCGACCGTCTTCTCGACATCAATGGCGCAGTAAGCTTGAAAATCATTTCCTAGTTTGGTTTTTCCTTTTGTGTTCGAAAGCACAGTTCTTCTTGTTGGAAGTGTAGTACTGCCACAGATTTTGCAGCCTTCAATTTCTTTATTTACAGCTAGCTTTATTGGTGGCAATACAACTTTGTTCTCCATTGGCATTACAGTAATGCGTTGTTTACGTACGTACTTGTAAAATTCACACGGCCCAATTCTATTTCCGTCTATGATTTCAGTCTTGGGCGGGGCAAGAACTGGCTTTCTGTGATTGGTTTAATGAGAGCATGCGCATGCAGTTTTCCCTGGACCCTTCTCCGCGGGGAGGAGCGCGGTCAGGGGCCAGAACTGGACTACGCTATAGCTAGTGCTCGTAGAAGTTTGTTCATTTACTCTTGATTCCGATGACTTATCAGATAAATTGTTAATATGGCAAAGATAGTCTAAAATGCATATTTGTGATGAATATAGTCATTTGCGAAAAAAATCAATATAGTTCTTCGCTAGTATTGCTGCTCCTCTATCATTTAGGTGTAAACCAGATGCATTAAGGCTAGAAGTATTTATATCACTATTGGAAATAAGAGACCAGTTATTATTCTTACAAACCTTTGCCAGGAGAACATTCGTTTTTTTAACTTTTGTATTTAATTTGTCATCTGCCCTCTGGATGATCTCTGAAAAAGCGACTTTTGACAAGCCGTTCACCATGATAGTTCTACACAGTGATTCAACTTCCTTAGCTATCTCCTCGGACTCTTTATGTTGGATGTCATTTGTTCCAACGTGGATCACGACTAGTTGGGGATTTTTCTCCAGAGTCGGTTTAATATAATGCTTCATGTCCGAAGTAGTTGCTCCAGGAAACGTCTTGACTATAATCTTTTTCCCAGTCGAACGGCGTAATCTTGAAGGACTTAGTTTCTTTAACATCGAGTCTCCTAGGATCGCTATCGGGCCTTCGGTAGACTTTGAGCTTGAGGCATTGTGTTGTTGTGTCGGTTCGACCGAGTATCTTTGCTTTTCCTTTTGGTGTTGTATTCTTCTACCGGAGTTTGTCGAATTTTCTATATGTGTTGAACTAGGGGTGACATTATGATCCATATCTTTGTTTTCATTAGATTCATCAACCGCCAACGAGGCATATTGATTTGGTTCTAAAATTTGGTTGCTCGCTTGATTAATACGTCGCGAAGGTGTTTGGTTCTTTGTTTTACCTTGGGTTTTACTTTCTATTCGTGTCCATACTTGAGATTCGTTATTGTTTGATCTAACATTAATATCATCAGACTGGATTAAGCGAATAGCAGTTAGTAAACTGGCTTTTTCATCTCCGGCAACCTTGATTATATTATTTAATTCCGATATTGTGTTTACATGTTCATTGAGGCGATGAATTAGTTCTGCATTGTCCGTCTTTAATTTACAGTTTTCCTCACGTAATCGATCAATTTCTTTTTCCTTCTCGGCATCTGGGTTCCTTTCCAATTTAGTAAATAGAATATCGATATTATTATTGGTTCTCGACTGAAAGTTTTTGAATTGTTGTTCAAAATTGTCTATCTTCGCTTGTAGGGCATCGAGGGTGCTAGGAACCTGCATATGATCGCCTTCATTAGTATTCTTTGTCGAAGATTTGTTTTCAATATTTATTTCCGAATCATTCTGCAGAACCGATTTTATATTTATTGACTCTTTGCGTAGTCTCATGTTAGCCAAAGCTATCAATTTCTCTCTCATTCTTTGACCTTCATCTCCGCTAAATGTTAAGGTTTGTTTCTTGCTGCCATACCACGTCATTTCAAATCGTTTGTCGGTACTTTTAAATCGCCTCGTTTCGCCTCCAGGAGAGGACCATTTACCCTGTTCTCGTAGTTGTAGCATCAAATTCTTAAGCGTTTCTAAGCTGTCTTTCCATAATAAACGCTCACCATTTAGTTGTAGGTATTCCACGTGTTGTAGATCATCACTCGGCATTGCAGTTTGCTCACCTTTGTTGATATTATTGTCGGGAGAAGGATTATTTATACTATTCTCTTGTGTAGATTCGCTTTCACAAAAACTTATAGAGTCGTTATTTTCGCTATTTACAAAATGTAATAAAGAATCAGCCAGATTTTGACTAAGGCTTGAGGATTTTGACTAAGGCTTGCATTTAAGCCTGCCGCACACGAGAGCTATCAGCTGAGCTAACAGGCACGAGTAACTTTTTGCTCAGCAAATAGCTCTCGTGTGCGGCAGGCTTAAGGTAATCAGTTCCACAGTTTAGCTCCATCACAACAGAAGCTATTCTTAAGGTCAAGAAATAAGCGAGATTTAAAAAAAAGCTTTAAAATGTTTTCCACGTCATTTTAAAAGTTCTTTCAGATAGTAAGGGAATCTAATTTCTATATTCATGCTATTTCCGATCATATCCCTCAACAGGGCCGTTCCTAGACGCGATAATAGGGGGGGGGGGTATATTCATATATTCATGCTCGCTACCGTAAAAACAATCGCTTTCGAAAGAAATCCGTTGGGAAGAAGACGAATATATGAATATACACTCCCAATTATCACGCTAGGAACGGCCCTGTCCCTTTAATTAAACGACTGAACTTGCCCGGCTTCAATGAAAATAAGACCGAAGTTTGACGCTTAAACTGAACTGCTTAGAGCACAACATGCTCAAATATAAGTAATTGACTGTTTATAGTAAGTATATATAGCCTTGGATCTAGCGAGTGTACAAGTGTTTCTAGTTTATTTTAATTGGCGCGCATGGTTCGATCAATTGAAACAAGAATTTGAAGCAGAAATTTTAGTCTTGGAGAGTTTAACAGCGTATTTTTATCTAGAAATAGGCAAACTAGTTTAAAATGATCTACGTCTTATATTTCCTATCAATAACAGGAGAAAACAAGCAAGAATGATTAAGGTTCGACTGTCTATAGTTGAAGCAAAGTGCCTAATTGTCTGAGGATTTTTGAGGGTTTTTTAGTGATTTTCTTGATATTATAGTCAGTATAATTCCGCGGTAACAAAAAGCCCCAAAATAATTTTTACATCCAGTTTTAGAGCAACAGTTTCTCTTTAAATTCCGTAAATTTCAAGGAAATTGGAGTTTTTCCGAATACGGAAAATTAATTTTCAAAAAGTGCAACAATTTAGAATTTTTTGGATCGCAAAAAAAGACGATTTTTACACGCTTGTCTTGACATTAAAAAATCATTTCAAAAATTGCAAATTGGACCCACGTTCTTTATAAACATCTTATAAACACGTTTAAAAACGAAAGGTGAGGTTTTATCACACGCCAATTGAGAAAAAAGAAATTTTCGAGAGGCCGTAGCTCACAATTTGTTTTTGCTAATTTCGCGCATCTCGGGTATGTGTGAGGTTTTGATAATTTTCGGCGTTTAAAATAATATTTCAGAAAACAAACCCCACCACGTTTCTGAGTACACATTAGAGTATCACTGGAAAAAATAAGAAGATTTTTTATTTTTCCTCATGTGCCACGTATTCTCGATTTTGCTCGGTTTTAGTGGAGATTGTCTCTTAAACTGATACAGTGGCCAAGATGGAAAGCATAAAATCTAATCCCGAAACTTTAGACTGATATAGTGGCCTAGATGAAAGGCATAAAATCCAAACTTCCATCACCAAAACATGAGCCTGTTAAATTGGACATTTGCGTCTTTGATCGTGCGCACCCGCAGTTGCTATTTTTGTCAGTTTCTTGGTTTCATATTTCATTTGAGCATCATAACAACACTGTTTATGGCGGCCTAAGGGAAGCGACTTCGACCGGAGGAAGGATTCTACAGAGTTGTAGAGGATGGAGTGCCCTTAGAACGTGCTAACTATCCTCTCATTGGTAATAAAGGAATACGGAATGGTTTTCCGTGCAGCATTATGTGTCCTTTTCAATATCCTAAAGTGCGCCTGGAAGCCGGTGCTCCCTCCCCCCAATCTTTGATGATTCCTACGCCCCTGCACGAGAATTTCGGACAGGGACGTCGCGAAGCCATCAACATTGGGGTGGTGTCGTAATGTTTTGACCAACGCTTCCTAGGAATTTGACTATGTTGTATAATTTTTTTTCGAAAATGTTGTCGACGGCGGGGGGGGGGGGGG